TGTGTGTGTGTGTGTGTGTGTGTGTGTGTGTGTGTGCGTGTGTGTGTGTGTGTGTGTGTGTGTGTGTGTGTGTGTGTGCGCGCGCATGCGCGCGTGCACATATGCATGTGAGCAAAACTCTTGCATTATCTGCAGAAAATCCTGTACTGTGTGCAAAATGCAAGCTTTTTATATGTAAGATAACCCTTTTATGTAAATTAAAAGTCCCCCCCCCAAAAAAATAGTTTTCTTTTTGTGTTTGTTTGGCTAATATTAATAATGATGCAAAGAAAGTGCTCTCCTACAGAAACAAGTTAGTCATTTTTCCAATGAAATGTTTTGATGAAGGACAGGATTTTTCTTTTTCTTCAAGGAAAAGAAAATTCGTGGGTGTTCCTTACACCTGAGGGCCTTTTCATCTTTATACTTCATCCCAGCAGGCCTTGCTAAGTGCTATGTGATACCTGCATATCTACCATTGACCCATCAGCTTGTTTATACTTCATATTAGAACTGAGTGTCTCCCTCGCATTTCTGTTTTGCTGCCTAGTTCTGGAGAACCCCAAAAGATGGACATTATTCTAGAACAGCAACAGGTTCTGCCAAAGACACCACATGCCTGTTTTGTTTTGTTTTTCATAATGGATCAACACAGCCAATATTATTTAATCATTACAGTGGTGCCGCACTTAGCGACGTTAATCCGTTCCAGGAAAAACGTCGCTAAGGGATTTCGTCGCTAAACGGATTTTAAAAGCCCACAGAAACGCATTAAAACCTGTTTAATGCATTCCTATGGGCTAAAAACTGACCTTAAAGCGAAGATTCTCCATATGGCGGCCATTTTCGCTGCCTCTAAAGCGAGGAATTGGCGCGAAAACACAGCGGGCGGCCATTTTGTTTACCCGGTGGCCAGTGACTTAGTATGCTAAGGGGAGCTGCATTTAGAGTAGGTTCATTTGCATCAATGGATAAATTGAATCACTGAATCTCCATTGATTCACTGGGCCTACTCTACTAAAATTTACTATGGTGAGCAACAAGATTTTGGCCAGTGCTTAGCAAGTGTGTTATAGCACTGCCTGTGATACAGTGGAGGGTGGGTGACTATAATTTCATGCAGGGAGGAGGGGAGGCTAGATTCTGCTCCAGAATGAGTGTTCTAGGACTCGTCCAAGATTCTGAACCCTATCCCCAAGATAGGTTCAGCACCCTGGATAGCTGCTGTAAAGCTAAGGCTAAAATCCAGAGCAGAGTCACCAGTCATCACTGCTATTACTGTATGTAATTACCAGTGAATGGGCAAGAGCAACAGCATGTCACAAAGAATGAAAGATTCATTTCAAGGGAAGAAACAATCAACAAATAGTCTTGAAGATGACCCAGAAAACTGGCAGGCTGCAAGCAAACTAGCATTTGATTTCTACATGAGGAGACACTGGATAGGAGCAATCATCATCACACTATGGCCATACTGGTCTGGGATAGTAGGAGTCCAAGAAGGATCCCACTGAATCCCAATAAGAGAATGTCTATCTGAGACAACAATGCAAATCCTATTTGCTCTGGGGTTCAAGCAAATTGTTTCCGCCTTGACCAGATTTGGAAGCATGATATCATTAAATCCTTAAGAAACAAGGAACATTAGCTAGTGATGAGTTTTGTTTCAACAGCCAACTCCTGGGAGTCCTGTTCATGCTTTTGTTCCAAAGCCTGGCAGTGGAGAAGAAACATGCCTTTTTCTCTACATGTACTGCAGCCCAAGGTGGTACACGGGACTGGTCAAGTAAGTATTTCCTGCTATATTCCTGCCTTCTGAATTTAATGCTAACCCTTCTCTGTTTCCCTGAGTGGTGGTGGGACTCTCTGAACAAGGCAGAAGATTCCCTTGCTAAAATTTTACACATTTGGTACTAATAGGTTTATGGCCAAATTACAGGTTGCATTAATTTTTTTTAAGTGCATTAAGCTAGCCATTAACAGTGTAAAGGAAAAGTAGCCACAAGGTTTTGAACTGAAACAAATTCCAGATCTAAACTGGGATCTATGCCTGTCAAGCATCATTAGATGGCTCAACAGAGTGAGAATCACCCTGCCTGCAAAAATACAGTTTACTGCAAACAACATCTTGGAGACAAAACGACGAGCCAAGGGCTGGAGTGGATTTTTGAGACAACCACGCCAGCACCATGCAGAGATCCTTCTTTTGCAATTCCAAGTGTTAGAGAAAGAGGAGACCAAGGAGGCAAAGGCAGAGAGAGCAGAAGGTGAATAAAACTGGGACACATGCCAGGGAGCAAGCAAGTAAGCAGGGAGAGTGACCAGGGAGAACAAACAGGAATTTAATGGGGAAGTTGGGGGGGGGCACAACAAAACTTTGACAAGACAAAGGAAAGGGCTCTCATAGACAAACAAGAAGAAAGTAAAAAATGTAATAGGGATTATGGAGTGAAGAGGCACTTTGGTGGTGACCTGCAAAATGTGTGCAATTTTTGTCTTCATGGCTGAGAGCAATACAATGTACACACTCGGGAAGTGTAAGCTGGTTGCACTGTTAGAAGAGACCATGCAAAGGTGGTGGCCATGCTTAAAGCTGTAAGAGAAGATGAAGGATATCTAGACAGAATCCTTGAGCAGCTGCCGCCAAGGGAGGGGCTGGAAGTAAAAGGACAGCATAACAAAGCTGAGGAGAGGAGAAGAATGGTGGGAAGAGAAAAGAATCACAGTTAGGAGCAAAAGAACACACTCTCCACCAGTGCAACTGCAAAATCACTTTCAGATTCTTTAAGAGCCTGGCAGACAGCATGCAGAGGAAAACATACAGGAGACCCAGCAGGAAGATGTGAGAGAGGCTGAAACTCAGGCAGGCAGTCACTGAATGTACACCCTACAAAAAGAAGAAAATAAGTTGTAGTACAAAACTCCTTACAGCATGGGATTGAAACTGAAATATGCCAGGAAGATACATGAAAATGCCAGGTATGCTGTCTCCCTGAAGGACAGATTAGGGATGTGACAGAAGGACTGACATCACTTATATAACTTACAGATGCGTACGTTTTCTTCTCATCCACATGGGAACAAATGATGAACTACAAAGAAATAACATCAAACTTTGAAGCTCTGGGGAGGAAACGCAAGAATTTTGGGGACCCAGTCTTCTTGTTCATCATACCAGTACTCACAAGAGGGAGGGAAAGGGGAAAGGAAATAGTGCTGGTAAACAACTGGCAACAAAGGTGGTGTCAATGTGAAGGATTTGGCTTTTGGGACACAGGCTAAGCTTCCGAGAAGGTGGACTGCTAGCAAATGATGGATTGCACCTCACAAGGACAGGGAACAATGTGTTTGGTCACAGCATTAAAGAACTTTGTCAGGACAGCTTTAAACTGAATTGGAAGAGAGAGGGAGACACAAGCTCAGACAGATGAAAGATTATACACAAGCAGTGGAACAGAACAAGCATCTTTCATGGGCCCAATAATAGTCTTCATTTAAAAAAAAGCAGGCCACAACCACATTATCTCTGGTATGAATATATGAATGCCAGGAGTATGCAAAACATATTCCTACACGATGATGAGCCTGATTGTCCCATTGTGAGCATCTGGATTGGTATAATTGGGGTAAAAACAAAAGGAACGTGGTAATCGGAGTCTATTACTGATCATTCAGTCAAAGAGAATATGTGGATGAAACCCTTGAAAAACAAACTACAAGTATTTCAAAGATAAGCTATAGTAGTAATGGAAGATTTCAATTTCCCTGATATGTCGGGAGGTAAATTCTGCTGAATATGACCCTTCCAAGAAATTCCTGGGTTGTTTTACTGGTAATTTTCTCCTACAAGAACTGGAGGAAGAAACCAGTCATACAGGAGGACTTGAATTAAAATTCTTGCTTGACTGTGCTTCTCATGCAGAGGTATATGTCTCTTTGTTATTACATCTACAAGTTGCACCATTCCAAGTGTTGGACAATCTATAATAGAACTCGAAATTTCACAGCTTAGACATATACGCCTGCACATGTGTTCAAAGAACACACATTAAAAACTTATTCAATAAAACAGTCCCTTTTATCCTGCTTTTGCAGTAGTACAGTTCAGCAAGAGCCATGTCATACTACTTTACTAATAGGTACTGAGAAGAACCTGGCTTACATGGAAAAGTTGTCTCCTGAAGCTGCTGAATGCTTGATCCAACTCCGAGAACTGGTGCTGCTAATGTTGTTAGGCATTGTTCATAGAATAATTGAGCTAGAAGGGGCCTATGAGTCCTCTGAAGATGCCGGCCACAGAGACTGGCAAAACCAATGTGGTTTGGTGGCTAGAGTACTGGAAGAGGATTTGAGAAACTGAGGTTCAAATTATCTCTTTGCCATGAAAACTCACTGGATATACGTAGCAATGATAGACCACTCTTTTAACATCCCCTATATCTTTTAATATACAGTATATCTTTTAATATCCCCTATATCTCAAAACCTTAGTAGGGTCACCATAAGATGGAAGTGACCTGACACATAACAATTTGTGTTGGTCTCTATATCTGTAATATGGAAAATTGCTTATATGATAAAACTGGAAGATGTAGTGTTGGGCAATTTAACTGTACCATCTTGCATTTCCAGTGAGGTATAGAACTTATGGTTCAAGTCATACTGTTTTTCTACCATGTTACATACTATTGGTCATATAATGGCTGGATCTAGTTAGCTGCACATTCTAGCAGATTAAGACTGAATAATCAAAATAATGAAAATGTTTGTGAAGAGGTTTGGATAAGTCATCTTTATTTATCTCCTGGCATAATCTGACACATGTCCACTCAAAAGCAAATCTTACTCATTCAGGGGGAATCTCCCCCCAGATAACTATGTTTAGGGTTGTGATGCAAGTTGGACTTTGCTATTTCAATACAGTTTTAAAAGTAGCTATCTGTTGGGTCTCATCCAATATTCATACTACATTCAGTAATACACTGCTAATTAGTTTTGTGCTGTTTGTGTGTGTGTGTGTGTTTGCCTTTTTTACAGCTCCAGTACTATTGATGGCTGGAATCTGCAGTCTGACATCCTGTTTCTTTGTTGTTGCTTTTCACACTAATTACAAGAGGATCTATGCAGAGACAGCTCATGATTACTCAGTCAACAAAACAGAAGATGATGTTACAGTAACAGCACAAACATGAAATGTTTGCAATTGAACTCTGGACTAACACAAGTGCCTAAAACAGATGCTGACACTTTGAAAAGCACAGGTAATATAGCTACATAAAGCAGCAAAGTAAATTATTTCTCGATGGAAAAAAGACTGGAATAATTACTACTGCTCAGTTCTTTTATTCCTTCCACTTTTAAGTTGCAGGGGGGCATACTGTTGACCATGTAGCTGAAACAGCTCACACACAAGAGGGAAGCATCAGAAGGTTCTGGGAAATCTTAGGATTAGCAGAGATATGAAAAAACAAGACACCTCTGAGCACCACTCAAGAGGACAACCCTCAAAACAAGCCAATGAAGAGATGGTGTGCAGTGTGGCCAAAGAATGCTGATTGACTATTGCAGGAAAGGATGGTTGATTACCTGAATTTTTCTATAGAAGACTACACCACCACATTTTGTTGCAGCTTCTGCTCGAGCTGTTCTAAGAGGGCGGGTTCACTTTGCCTATGGAACTGGAAGCAGTATTCTAGAGGAAGAATACAATGAACAAATCCAGTTAGGTGGATGTCAATCCTATCAGTTGTTGTCACTGCATCAGACACCTCTTCCTATGAGCCACACAGAACGACATCTTCAAGTTTGCTGAAAGAGGGTATCTCTGGAGTCTTCCTAGTGTCCTGGATTGTTGAGGCTATCAAATGGAATACACTTAGGCATAACTAACCAAAGTTCTGTTCAGAAGAGGGAGATTCAAGTATGATAATTCTCAAGTATTTCCTCACATTGAGTAGCATCATATCCTTGGTTTCTTTATGTCCAGGCTATGAGGGACATACTTATATAGCCAACATGTAATGCAAAAGGGAATTCTAGGCCACCTTGGCAGAACTCAGAGGTTTGTGGAAAAACAAAACTACATGGGAGGAAAAAAATCCAAAACAAAAACAGAAAACACCACCCATAAATAAACTGCTAATTGAGGATTAAGGGTCCATGGCACATTGGCAGGCTTGGCTAGAAGGGGAGGGGATAGTGGGTAATGAAATGGAGCACCTGGAATTGTAAAAGGGGGCACCCACAATATCATATTTTGTTGTAGGTTCCACTTCCCATTGTATTCACATGGAAGTCACTGGAATTAAAAGATGCATTAAATCCATATTAAAAAAGATCTGGCTATGTCTATTAAGGGGTACAGAAAGGGCAACACAGCAATCTCCTCTACAAATAGCCTTGCACATAAAATGTTGCAAGGTTGTTTAATCCAGAGAACAGCCTTCCCCAGCTTAGTCTTTCATATATGCTGGGATCAACATCTCACATAATTCCCCAGCCAGTATAAAGTATTGATAAATTCTCACCTGCTCACGTAAATGCTCACATATACCAAAGGTTATGTGTATCCTAAACCCTGGAGCAGAACCTTACCACAGGGGGACAGGCAACCAGCTGTTTGCAAGCCATCCTGTGGCAACAAAATACAACAGAAACACCCAGAGAACTATAGAAGTTAGCTGTTATATTTGTCACAGACAAATTCTTCTAATCAGATACTCACAAAACATTTGGTACTGAATCAATACAGAACTTTAAAATCAGTGCAAAATATACAATCAAGGAAAAACCAAACACAAATACATTGCAAAAATTTATACAGAATCTTCCTAAGAATATACTCTGAAGACAAACCAATATTTAAATACAAAAAAGAAAGAGCACACCATATAAATAAACTTTTACAGTCATCGCATTTCAGGACTGATCATTTCAAAGACAAAAAAGGAGTATGCAAGGCAGAGAACTAGAAAACTAAGATACACAACAAAACCCTGTTTAAGACAGAAAAACAAGTAAACAAATGTGATATGCATTTCTAGCCTCTGTGTAGGCACGCAATGTGGGAAGAGTGTTCACCTTACAGTTACATAGTATTATGATTGCTCATGAGCTAACTGTTAAGCACATTTATTGCAAAGGATGAGCACTATGCATGAGGCAAACTATTCCAGGTGGCTGGGTTTGCCTTACATTGTAAGCATAATCAGAGATGCTTCCAAAGTTCTGTGCTACTAAATATTGCTTGGCTTATTTAAAAGCTCTAATTCCATGCAAAGGATTAACTTGCTGCCTCTCAAACATTTTTGAATGCATGGCCTTTTTTAAGCTTTACTATACTTTCGAAGCTGTCTCCTTGGCAGAAAATCTTGACACACAGCGATACAGATGTGACCTGACTGCAGAATCTGTGGATCAGGCTGCTAAGCCGATGCTCGGTGCCCTACAGGACGATCCCTCGAAAGTCAGGGCAGCCAGGGAAGGGAAACAAGGAAGAGGAGAAGCTGTGTGGCTTGAGGAAGTGGCCATGTGTACCAGAGGTTTCTCTTCCACTTCCAGAATTAACATGGTATTTTAATGGCCACTACATATCCAACCAATCTCTCTCTCGAACGTCCTCCCCAAAAGGCCTGGTAGTATGAGACTGATGGATTAATTACAAAAAGGGGGGAGTACATGTTTTACAAACTAGTTAACACCCCCCCCAAATATTAGCCACAGTAGAGAGCACCTAGTACAAACTCTACTCTAGATGTATCTGATCTCAATCTCCCCTTATCTAAATTATTCCATGTCCACAGAAACACTGGATTAACACATATCCCATTCATTGTACCCTCAGAAACCTTGGGAATGCAGTTTTGGAATGAGAGAGATCTTCAGCAGAGAATCCTCACACTCTCAGCAGACATATTTCTGCGGGGGGTTTTTATACTTAACTGCTTAAATTGATAGAAAAAGAGACAGTTTTGTAATAGTATAGAGTGCTTTGACACCTGCAATTTCATTAAGGATCAGTTCTTATTTAACCTTTATCCAGCAAAAGCTAGAATGTGTCTAGTGATCTTTTATTAGTTACAAGAACAAGCAAACAGATTTCCTTTTATAACTGACTTTCTGCCCTCTCATTTATATGCCAAATTAGTAATATCTTATTTCATAAGCATCTGTTTATGTGCATTCATTTAAATAATCCTTCTTTTCCAGGGAAACAGGCTCAATCCCAGATTTCTGGAGCACTGAAAAGTGTTTGTCTCTTCCTTTGCACAACCTTGGCAAGGATTTGTGAAGAGTGAACGTATCACAGCAACGGCACTTAAGACCAATTGGTTTAAATGAAACATTGAAAAGTTCAAACAAAAACAGACAACGTCACATTGTGATTTTTAAAACAACTCATAAGAATTAGCTCATTAATTTAGAGCAGTGTTTTTCAAACTATATTCTCCCAAACCCTGAGATTACTTAAAAAACTATGACACTGGGTTCCCGTCAGTGAGCTAAACCAGGATGGCAGACAAACTAACCCAAAAGACAGCTTGCTCACCACCACCACAGAAGACAATAAACTGTGTGAGTGTGTTCCAGTCTGTTCATACAGAGTAATACTGAGGCCTGGCCAGCTTGAAAACTACTGACTTTATGGAACTGGCCTTAGCTAAACACATGCACTTATGGAAAATTTGAAGCTAAGCAGTTACTCTTATTCTGTAGAAATATGCAACAGACAAAGCTTGGTTGACAAACAAGTATTGCATCCATTTAAAGCCACATGTGCACAAAATGGTTTTCCTTCTTACTGAAATTGGCTACTTTACCCATGACAAATATAATTTGTCACATAGGAAATGGATGCTCATAACCACAATGTATGTTGAGATGCAAATTTCTTGTACACAAGCAGTGACTGTACAGGAAGTTTGACATGTGCTTCAGTCATTTGTTGAAATGTTGCAAGAAATGGGAAAGCAGCATTACAAAACTACAGATACAACTTTTACTAGTGGGAGGAACCATCAAAAATAGGTTACTATTAAATCTGATTATATGACGGATATTTGGATTAGCATTTACATTAATACTACTACAATTGTATATAAAATGCACCTTATAAATTATCTTCAGAAAATAGAAACCTTCTTGCTAGAAATATTCAATATTTTAGGTCAATACAAACTCTGCTCATTCTGAGCCTTTCAGCCACACTTGATATCTTTGAAGGATTATACTTAGGAGGCTGGATCAAGAAAGGCAATTATTCTATTTACTGTCCTAAGCATCAGACAGAGAAGCCTTCCAATGGAAGCAGTGCATGGATATGAAAGCTTACAATCAATAGTCACTCCCTTGTAAACATCAAACTGCTAGTCAAATTTGCAGAAAATTGTGCTTACTATAAGCCATGAAAAAAACAACAACCCAGCTTTACATTCAATGTACAACTGTGGTCAAACCAAACTGCAACGAAAGCAGCACCAATACTGGGAAAATCTAATTCACAACTGAAACAGTCTGAAGGACATAGATTCAAGCTGATATAGCTCTACCTCACAATATGGGGTGTTCACGATCGGTGATCAAATCTCTGCAGCTGTTCTTCATTTCATGAGACTTAGCAGCAGCACTCTCTTGAATAGTCCAGAGTTGGGTTTAATTTGTGGTGCTGGAAGAAATTAGAACTAACCAACTAACCTATTCTCTTTTGTCCCACATAGCTAACAGTAGCTTCAGGGAAAACTTCAAGTGCGGAAACATAAAGGAGTGAGTGTTAATCTTCCACAGGATCATCTTGGTTCAGGATAGGTGCTTTTAGTCATAAAAAAACAACTGGAAGAACCAATCATAGATCCCCAGCATAACAAATATTTTGGATTTTTACTGCTTCGGCTTATTAGGATTGTAGAAGGAAGAGAGCTATCCTAGCCATCCATCTAATCAAACTGACAAACTAAATTTACACAAGGGTTTTGAAGTGGTATTTATTATACTGCTCAATGGTGAACAATTTTCTTGTGCTGGGGTTTTAGCCATATTAGGTCCAGCACAATGTTTGCTGAAGTGCCTCCAACAATATAGATCACACCCCTCATGAACTCAAATCACAAGATGGTTCAGGCCAAAGCATGAGTTCCATGTGTGAAGCCCAATGCAAGTGCTAACAGCCAATTGTGCCCTCCTCTCCTCCACTATGCATTGGACAATATATATAAGGTTTGCTTTACATAGCTTATCAGTCTTTGTATTTGAGCCTGAAGTGGACTGATTTATTAATTAAAAAGGAGGGGGAACATGGGGCCTTTGAGATAATGTTAGACTCTGATTCCCAGTGCCCCACTCCTCTAGTCACTGGCTATGCCTGGGCAAAAGGGGTCAAAGTTGGTGAAACAGGCATGGACAAATATACTAGAATTTTGAAGCAGAATTCCCCATCATATTCTACTGGAAGGTATGTCTTTTAGGCTATACAGGGGCTTTACATGCCAAAACAAGAGTTATGCCATTATCTATATAAAATGTAATGCAATCTCTCTTATATTTACAAGTGCAGGATAAAGAATGTAAACAATGGCAAATCAATGATCAAGTTGATTTCAAATTCTTTTTTATATAGATGCCAGATTGCAGCACTGCATTTTTGTCAATGCTGAACTAGGTTTATGCATGAAAATACTGTACATACTTTGCTACTGGTGATTTTTCCCCCTCTGGTGCATATATTAGGAAGCTTCCATGCATTCACCTTCTAACGTACACTCTGACTGATTGGATCCATATTAGAAATTACTCATGTCCTCCACAGACAAGTGTGGACCAAAGCATTGTCCATAAAAACATAATGCAGGAATTTACCCACATCCTGACTGTGCTTAGTAAACACCAAAGGCCCAATGCAGATGTAATGCTGGCACCATGCAAACCATGGCTTGTGTATCAGGAATATGTGCTCTCTTCCCTTACGCTTCTCAAAAATGGTTTCTCGCATCCCTTCCTTTCTGGCATTAACTACAGTAACATATGCACCAATACAAACCATGGCCCCTTTGGAAAGGAAACATTGCACTAGATTTACAAACGATGGTTATGTTTGAATTAATCACAGTCTTCACTGATGCATATGTGATACACAGCCATGGCTAATGCTGGAAAGAGCAAGAAAGGGAAGAAGAGTAAAGGATAGTAATGCATGGATTCTTGATTTGCAACCCATGTTTTTCAGAGAAATAATGATATATCTGCATTAGACCAATTAGATGAGTGATTAGTACAAAGATGATGATAGCAACCTATAAATCACACCCCTGGGAGAATAATGGAAGGAGATTTCAGAGGAAACAATAAAAACTAGCAAGAGAGCCATTCCACCCTGACACAGACCCTAAAGAAAGGACGGAGGCACACTGCACAAAAGAAAGCTTTCTGTAGTGCAAATAAACATACTAACCTTAATGCTCATGCATTACTAAAGCATATAGTTTTTTTAAAAAAATTGGCATAAAGGATGCAAGGCTCAAGCTATGGAATCTACTACTGTCTCTATTCAACCCATATCACTATCTACAACTGCATCCTGAAAATAGATGAAATTAATAGATGAAAATCTGTATGTATCACAAGCCTAAAAAACTGAAAATGTGTAAAGAGAGATAAACTTTTGGACTTATCAAAGACATTCCATGTAAACTAGAGTGTGCATCTTTAATAAAATGCAGAAAAATATGCTCAGGTTAATCAATAAACAAGCTGCTACAAAAATTTGAAGAAATACAAGGAATAGACATAGTGATGTGCTTTTTACTCTTGTCGTTTTTCCTCCAAGAACACTATTCACTAAAGACCACAGATTTTTTAGACATTGAAGAAACTGACATCTCTTATTTACAACTTGTGTTCCTATTTCAGCATGTTTGTTTTCAGCATTTACTAAGGGACATCTGAATGCCATATTCATGCCATCCAAACTATAGGCACAATCGGCAGGTTACTCATCTGTAATTGTAGTTCTTTGAGTGGACCTCTGTGATTCACATTGTGGGTGATCTGCACCCGCACGGAGCCTCTTCGGAATATTCTAGAGCTTTTGCGGTAGAAAAAAAAAAGCACATTCGAATAGACCCCTCCCCCTCGGTATAAGTACCTTGGTGCCAGGACTCTCCCTTCAGTTGTGTCAACCACCACAAGGAAAAAAATATTGTATGGCATGACAGAGGGGAGGTCGGGTGGGATGTATGAATCACAGAGGTCCACTCGAAGAACTACAATTACAGGTGAGTAACTTGCTGTTCTTTGTGGCCTCTGTGAATCAGACTGTGGGTGACTAGCAAGCTGTCTTACCCGGAGGCAGGGTGTCACACCAAGGTGGAAGCCAAAACAGCTCATCCAAATGCCGCATCAGACTTCTGCCGAACATCTAGTTTATAATGTCGGACGAAGGTAGATGGTTGTGCCCACGTAGCCGAGGTGCAGATGTCGGGGAGAGGCACACCACATAGGAATGCTGTAGAGGCCACCAACACCCTGGTGGAATGAGAGCAAATAGCTTGAGGGACTGCTGTCGAGCAAGCTGGTATACAAGCCGAATAGTAGAGGCAACCCAGCAAGAAATCATCTGGGAGGTGACTTGTAGGCCTTTGTTAGGAAGTTGATGACTGACATTGTATATAGGTGAAGGATGAAAGGGTTGCGTACGCGACAAATAAAAGGAG